GCAGCTTGCACTGTCCGTACGTCCCGCACTCGTTGATGCACGGCGAGAGGAAGGTGCGCAGGTTCAGCTCGGCGCTGACATTGTGACACGGCCGCCACCTGTAGGGAACAGACGCAGCGGAGGGATCAACACCTTCTCCAGGCCCCAATACCACCCCCTCCCCCCCTGATTGGTCCTGATTGGTCCCTTCATTCTGCCCCCCCTGATGGTGAATCTTTATGTTTAGTCCTCATGAAGCAGAACGGACTTTTTCTCACAAGCCCAGAATTGGTAGAGAGACAGAATCCTCCATCCCACCTGCTCCCAGAACCTTGCTGGTGTCATTGTGGATGGGGTGGGAAGGGTTAGACCCTCTGTCAGGTGTTTGAGTCCCTTGGTGGAGGTCTCTCTCACGTTCTGTCGTAGGGAGGCAGAGGAAGTGCTGGGAATCCTCCAGCGGGGACACGTTGCTTGTCATATGGTGTGAATGTGTTAGAAGTGGTTGGGTTCCTCGGAGGCGGGTCGAAGGACTCACCCGTAGAGGGAGCTGCACATGGAGCGCAGGCTCAGGTACCAGGTGCCGGTCTGGGGGTAGGGGATACGGAGGCGGGGACACGTTGCTTGGATGCGGGTCGGAGGACTCACCCGTAGAGGGAGCCGCACATGGAGCGCAGGCTCAGGTACCAGGTGCCGGTCTGGGGGTAGGGGATACGGAGGCGGGGACACGTTGCTTGGATGCGGGTCGGAGGACTCACCCGTAGAGGGAGCCGCACTCCCCCCCCCGAAGGCCTGGAAGGGAAACACGGCCTCAGACCAGGGGTGCCCATTAGGTAGATCGCGATCGGCTGTGTCCTGTGGGGCTTCTCCTCTGGATCCCCGCTGCTCCCCCCCAACCTGTATGCAGCGGGGATCCGAGGAGAGGTGAAGGAAGCGCTGCAGCCGGCGTGGGGGGCAGAGGGCGGAGCAACTGTCAGAGCAGCATGGCCGAGCTGTGAGGAGAGAGAGCCGCTTAGCCAGCATCTGACACCTGGTGTCTCTCTCTCTCCTCACCGTCCGGCCATGCTGCTGTGACAGCAGCTCCGTCCTAACTGGGGAGACATGGTACTATGTGTCCCCAGTTATGAATGAACAGGAAGTGCTTTACATCACTTCCTGTTCATTCATGAGTTTCTCAATGAAAAATTGTGGGCGTCCCTGGCTTAGACCATTGAGGGCCTACAGACAAAAGACCACCCGCCCATCCCACCATGACCAGACGTTGTCTCCTGTGTACCCTCCTCTGCTCTATTCTCCCCCCTCCCCTCCATCCACCTCTGACAACCCTTCTCCATCATTGTTGAGGAACATTCCAAGTCACCGGGTGTGACCACCAATGACTGCCCAAGAGGATGATGGGAGTAATGGGAAGACTGACCTGTCTGGCAGGTGATGGAGGAGTTATCGCCGGAGATCAGAGGGACGCCATGATTCAGACACCCAAAGACTGTCACGTTCTCTCCTTGGACAGAGGACTGCATGGAGGAGGCAGCGCCATGAGGGGGTAGAGGACATTACATAGACAGAAGAGAAACCAAAATATTATTAGTACCACCCGGGACCCACTAGGCCCACTCATGAACCCAATCTTCCCATGAGCTGTGTCCATTATCCCGGCATCACTCACACCCCGCGCATTGTCACATGACCCGTCGCTCTTCCCACCATACCCCCTTGTTCTCTACTCGTCCAACCATACCCCCATGTTCTCTACTCATCCCACCATACCCCCATGTTCTCTACTCTTCCCACCATACCCCCATGTTCTCTACTCGTCCAACCATACCCCCATGTTCTCTACTCTTCTCACCATACCCCCATCACCACCGACCTCACACACATTGCTTCTCTCCCTGAGCCTCCAGCACCCCACCCTCATAGTCACATGACCCCCATCGGTAGGCGCCCTCACCCTCTATTGTTACTCACAACGTTGAGACGGACTTCCAGGTTGAAGACCCCTCCGCTGTCCAGTACGGGTAGAAGATTGACGCTGAACACCGCAGGCCGGTCTGGTGGAACCGATACATTAGGTCCGAAGAATATGTAGAAATGGACCGAGAATGTGTCCAGCTCGTTCCTCAGGGTGGGCCGTATGGGCCAACAGGACGGCTGGAGGATGGTGGTGTTACCCCAAAACATATTCCCGGATGACAGAGAGACCCCGGGGGCTGGGAGGCCTTCTAAGGAAGCCAATCCTCCCGCTGCTCCAAAAGACTGAGGCATGTTCAGGGAGGAGCTGGGAGCGGCGGGCCCCCGGGAGAGGCCGGGCCGAGAACAGTCTGCCAGGAGAAGAAAACCCACATTACTAAGGTGTACACCCCACACACCTCCCACCGGGAACCACAACCCCGCACTCACCGGGCACCACAGCCCTGCACTCACCAGGCACCACAGCCCCGCACTCACCGTGCACCACAGCCCTGCACTCACCAGGCACCACAGCCCCGCACTCACCGTGCACCACAGCCCTGCACTCACCAGGCACCACAGCCCCGCACTCACCGTGCACCACAGCCCTGCACTCACCAGGCACCACAGCCCCGCACTCACCAGGCACCACAGCCCCTCACTCACCTTGTAGCTGCGTAGTCAGCTGGAAATAGATAGCGGTGCCCGCCAGTCCTGTCCGCTCCACCAACACATAGTACCAGTGCTGCCAGAGGGGCAGTGCCAGGAGGAGTTGGCACACAGGGGAGGAGGTGCAGTCTTGGCAGGAAGAATTGTGCAAAGGGGGGGCTTTGGCACGCAGTCTCAGCAGGAGGGGGCAATGGTCAGCCGTGCGCACACCGGTGCGGCAACCCAGGAGACTAACCCGCAATCCCGAGGTGAACTGAGGAATGAAGACCCTGAAAGGGCAAGAGGAGAGGGTAGTTATAGGGGGCAGTTATATGTCATGGGGTTATTAGAGGGGGTAGTTATACACTATATTGCCAAATGTATTGGGCCACTCCCCCTCCCAATCATTGGTTTCAGGTGTTCCGTGACATTTCCTGGCTACTAAACATTCCGCCGCGATCACCTGTTACTGGGATTATAACAAAGCGGAAGCAACTGGGAACAACAGCAACTCAGCCAGGAAGTGGTCGGCCACGTCACATGACAGAGCGGGGTCAGAGCATGCTGAAGCGCACAGTGCGCAGAAGTCGCCAACTGTCTGCAGAGCCAATAGCTACAGACCTCCAAACTCCATGCGGCAGTCAGATTGGCGCAACAACAGTGCGTAGAGAGCTTCATGGAATGGCTTTCCATGGCCGAGCAGCTGCATCCAAGCCGCACATCACCAAGTGCAATGCAAAGCGTGGGATGCCGCGGTGTAAAGCGCGCCGCCATTGGACTCTAGAGAAGAGGAGGCGTGGTCTCTGGAGGGACCAATCACGCTTCTCTGTCTGGTGATGGGCGTGTCTGGGTTTGGCGGTTGCCAGGGGAACGGTACTTGCCTGACTGCATTGTGCCAAGTGTAA